GACTATGACCACGAATTTGACCTCTTCCTTGAGATTGTCCTTGCTTTTTCTCTTGATCTTCCAAAGAAACCTTCGTTTGGAGAACTTGAGCCACCAACTCACCTTTCTTCTTCAATCTTTCTTCATATGCTTGCAAGGACCCCATGAGTTGATCAAGGGTCATGTTTTCCATGTCATTTGACTCTTCAATGACAATACTAACGAACTTAGTTTTGAGTCAAGCGATCTAAGAATTTTCTCAATTATACGACTTTCTTCAATATTCTCTCTGTACCGCTTCATATGATTGACAATGGAGGACACTCTAGTGAAATAGTCAAAAACTGATTCAGACTCTTTCATGTGCAGAGATTCGAACTCCCCACGAAGGATTTGAAGGCGAACCTTCTTTCCTTTTCAATTCTCTTGAAATTATTCTCGAGATTTTGTTGAGGAAACAACTTTCTCGAACATGGCTTCATCTAAGCCCATGTGAATAATACAGAGAGAGTGTTGATCTGACTTGAGATTCCTTTGCAAGACATTCATTTGAGCTTGACTTAAAGCTCCTTCATTCTCTAGTTCATCATAGCCTTTCTAACTTCTCATGCATCCTGTGAACCAAACAACGCCTTCATGCGTATGCTCCAATGTCCATAATTTTCATTTGTAAGTTTGGGAACAACAAAAGGAAATGAAGTATTCATCTTTTCAAGATACTCTGATACCATTTTGTTGGAAATAAATAATTATGGAAAGAAATGATAGAGAGAAAACACAAGAATTTCTCCAAAAAATATTTGTATTCCATGGCTTGGCTCCATAAAATGTTTCAAGCACAAGGCCTTTTATATGTACAAAGGGTCCCCAAATACACTGTATAAATTCAAGAGACTGATTAATGACTTCTCCTTCATACTATGAATAGAAGGATACAAAGAACCATATGGATACATGAATAAAATAAATACATAAATATTAAATAAGTTAATTCATGTATCAAAATTAATTTCCAACATTCATGAATCAAGTTTTAATTCCCAACAATTTCAGCAGATCCCTTCACAGGCTGTGTTGCAGAATTCACAGTCTTAATTTTCGTAGTTACCTGGGTCATGCTTAAACCCAGCTTTTCCACTATCCTCGAACTTACAAAGTTGTTGGTAGCACCCGTGATCATCATTGCCAATACTTCCTTACCATCAACAGTAACCCGAGCGTACTTCAAGCCACGCAACAGTGTAGTGATGGCATTCATGAGTTGTAACGAATTACCTCTAGAAAGGGCATCCTCTAAGTTATCATTACTGCCTTCCAACCTTAAGGCATTCAATTTCTCATTCTTTGGACTTTCCTTTGCACGTTGGGGACCGTTGCAAATGAAGCATCCATTGAAACTCTTTGACTTGAGTTAGGACTGAACACCATCTTTAGTTTTAAGGCCCTAGAATTTTTTCTTCTTATCCCCTTTCTTCAAATCTTTCAATGGGTCAGCCTTCTTCTCATTGCTCTTCCTTTGAGCAAAAGAGTTATTGCCCATCTTGTAGTCAACAAGATAATTCGCTGCAATCATTGCGGAATAAAGGTCCTAACTTTGTAATCTCGACATAAAGTTAAAAAGCTTATCCTCATCGGACATATTCTGAATATCTAGCATGTGACTACTAAATTCTTTCACGTATTCCCGAACACTATCGACTGTCTTAACCTTTTGAGAGATTCCTTATAACCCAATCCGTATTGCAAGGCAGAAACTAATCCTTCAATTTCTTTTGCAACATTTCCCAAGTCACAACTAGTAAATGACATGTAGCTTCATCATCATTCACCCAGTTCACCACCAAAACTTTGCATCACCAAAGAGATATATTGAAGTGATATTTAGCCACTTATCCTCTGGAATACGAGTAACTTTGAAGTACTGCTCCATATCCTACAAGAAATTCACCAATTCTTTGGCATTACGAGCACCGTTGAACTGTTTTGGTTCAGGAACACGAATTTTTGAAGCACCCACTGTAACCCTCACAGTAGTACTATTTAGGGCCAATTTCAACAAAGAAATTTCGCTCTTAAGGGCATCAAATCGAGCCCTTGTGTTATCAGTAAGATCCAACAAATCTTTCATGAACGACTCTTGTCTTTCATCTACCTCGCTGGCATACTCTTCGAACTGAGCCCTCAATTATGTGTTCACATCATTATGCACATGGATTTGTGCAGCCAAACTGACTGCATTGTCGGTCATAGGAGTACCAACAAAATCTTTCAACGTATTAACCCAATCCTTAAGATTCTGACTTGCGGCAATGCCTGCAAACGAAACCCAGTAATGGCAACCTGGGAGCTCTGATATCAATTATCACAATGACGAATTCTTGGTAAAATACTTAGCCAAATTTTCTCCTATGATGGCACTGAGGTTCCACTCAGGCAACCCACGAATTTGCACAATGCACATAAGAAAAAATAAAGCCAGCAATGTAAAGGAGCACAGAATTTACAGGTAAAACCCAACTTGTTTATTACTCCACAATAATACAAGAATACGAAGGAATGCTGAAGGAACACAACACACTCTGTGTCTCATCAGTCCAACCTTCAAAATATATAAGTCAAAATTCGTGTGTTGTTAATACCCTTAACTGCCAAAGGGATGAACCAACCTAGCATGATTAGAACTACCAGAAATTCCTTCCCACAATCTTTCCCAGCAACTGTCCATACTTTTCACCTTTATGGACCATAAAAACTGCCCAACACGTGTCAAACATGTACTTAATTTGGACACCTAAATTTGTGGACTAAAGCACACTAAAAAAAAGCTAGATCTGTCAATTCCTTGCCAATTTTTGCCAATACGCAACACTTGGACACCAACCAAATTGAAGCTTCACGACCATGAATTGAAACTCACATTTTCCTTCCTCCGAAATCCAAAGTTTTTATCGTCAACACACATGTCCACAAAATTATGGAATGAATGCAAGACGTGTCCATGTCATTGCGCATGTCAACCTTTAAGGGGTCGCTGGTAACTCACCTAGTCGATAAGTCTACTCAACTCGATCTCGACTTTATAATACAACATTTTTCTTTGTGTATCAAGTTGTAATTGTTCACTTCTTTTTATTTAATGTCTAACATATTATAAATTCGTACCCACTAGGGATGGTAACTGATAAGTGTGTTTTTGCACACTTATTTAATACTTAAATATACTTATTATTAATAAAAATGAGCGAATTTCTATTCACAATTATGTAATATTTGCTTTTGTAGGCCAAAAATCACTAAAGGAAAGAGAACAAGGCAAAATGAGAAAAAAGGACTAAAAGTGGACAAGATTGTGAAGTTGGGGACCAAGTTGCACAAGTGCCGAAAGTTTAAGGACATTGGGATGCAATTTATGG